CAAAGAGAATTTACTGACCTATAGGAAATCCTGCCATTATTTACTGCTAGTTCAGGCTCAAACTTCTTGATGGGATCTTCTGTCTACGATATAAGACAATTAAAATGTTTTTACATTACTTTTTATTACTAACAAGTATAAAGAATAATACACCTTTTTGATAGGTAATTGATTACTGACAGAAAGTACTGAGAAATGGCTAAAGAAATAGCAAAGAAAGCACCGTTTTGCTCATCCGCCTGTGCATGATTGTCTTGAACCCATCTGCTTTTGGCACTACAGGCTAATATTCAAAGTGGAATGGATCTGTGTAATTATATCTTATTTTGCCATCCTAAATTGTTTACCCTATATTTCACACCTTTGTTGTGTTGATTTGCTATGATAAAATGAAATGCATGCCTGATGTTTCATTCAGCAGTGTTAAAGGGATAATTCACCCAACAATGGAAATTCTGTCATCATTTATTCACCCTCATTTTGTTCCAAACCTGTATACGTCTATTTTTTCTGTGGAACACAAATGAAGATATTTTGCAGAATGTTGATAACCAAACCATTTTGATTATTTGACTTATGGACAAAACAATGAGATATTTCTAAAAAATATTTTCTTTTGAAGAAAGGAAGTCATACGTGAATCACACGAGGGTGGTTCATTGGTTGAACTATCTCTTGAAGTTGTATTTTAGTGTGAGAAATAAGTATTAAGCAAATGCTTAATGGTTTATTGCATCTGTGCTTTTCTCGCTTGTATTCTAACTACCCTATTTATCAGTTGGAAATGTTCACTCTCTTCACCCTGCACCTTAACATCAGGTGACAGAGATACGCATCTCCTAAACTACAGAGATAATCTCAGCATACATTGCTGACAACTAATCAAGAATGGGCACACTTTATCACCCATCTTTAAAGGGGTCATATGATGCGATTTCAAGTTTTCTTTTCTCTTTGGAGTGTTACAAGCTGATTGTGCATAGATAAGATCCCTGAAGTTGCAAAGACTAAAGTCTCAAAACCAAAGAGATATTCTTTATCAAAGTTAAGACTCTGCCACGCCCCCCTAAAACAGCTCGTTCTAACACGCCCCCACATATCTACCTCTATGTGGAAATATTAGCATAATGCCGCCCAAATGTGCATGCAAAGAAAGAAGGCGTGGTTTCAGTAACCGCAGTTAGTGTTGAAGCAGCCATGTCAGGGAGACACTGTGTGTTTCTAGGCGAAAGCAAAAGCACTTTATTTGGCCTTCCGGAAGTAGATGCATTTAGGAATCTTTAAGATTACTTACAACAGAACAGCAATGCATTTTATGGACGACCGTTTCGTGAACCTAGGAGAGGAGGTAATTCTGACTTTGCTATGACAATCTGGCGCTTCTGAATCAGCTACTGTTTTGTTATTAGTTTAAGTATTTGCTATTGACTGTTCAAATGCAGTTTTGCGCATCGTGTGTGTGTGCGCGCACGCAAGCGCGTGTGTGTGTGTGAGAGAGAGAGAGAGACAGGGTCACATCTCAAAGTGGAGTCAGCTGTCTTAACCGCGGCTTGTGTACTGCAAACACATACCAGCTTCATCACTGTGTCTGTCACGAGACTCTGTTCCCCTTTCGGGCTCTGTCTTTACATTTATTTTGAAAGATGAAGCTTGCGATTATGGTAAGGGGCGTTACATTTCCGACGAGTGCTTGCGGTGTTCGGCCAATCACAATGCACTGGGTCAGCTGGCCAATCAGAGCAGACTGCGCTTGTCAGAAGGAGGGACTTTGTAGAAAACGAAGCGTTTGAGAGAGGCGGGGCATAGAGGACCTACAATAATGTACAGTATTTGAAAAATAATGTGTTTTTTGAACATTAAAGCATGTCAACATATTCTGTTACACCAAATACACAAAATAATGATCTTTAAAAAAGCATCATATGACCCCTTTAAATAAAGATTGAGGTCCCCTTCCTACCACATTACCCTTATGTTTGCAAATGGCCCGCGAATCATCCTTCACGATCTGTTGGCCTTTAATGACATTCCACTTATATCCACCATTCATAAAACAAAAATATCATTCCTTCATCTTCACCTTACTAATGATTTAGGCTTTTGCTAGCTAGTAACTGGTCTATTAAATCTCTCTCTGTGCTGGTCAAACTTCATATGACATAAAACTTTTTCAGAATGCTGTTCTAAATATCTGAACAATCTCACAAACGTAACTCAACAGTAACAAATGTTTTGTACCAGTACCTTAACAAAAGTATTGATTGATTTTTCCATCTCGCTTTTTGATCTCAAATCTTTTGCAATGTATTTCTGTGGTTGGACGCATCTTCTTGTATCAGTCTGTTGGGTTTCAAAGCGTGCTTCTTCCACCAGGAGGCCCATCTCTGTTATTTGATTGTCACAAAGGCTGTGCAAATTATTGAATAAACATTATCAAGAATTTAATTTTGTCTTATACACTAGAACAAACCAAAGCTGTAATTTAACAAACACACTGGCAGCTGAGATGGCCAAAACTTTAACATAAATAGACAGTTACAATTTTACAAGCATTATGACATTGTGCAACTTATAAGCTACTACTTATTAAAAAATAAATAAATAAATAGTGTGACATCCAAAATATTTAGGTTGTACTCCTGTGATAAGGACAATTAAATTAACCTATTATAAGTTCTTCACTAGAGCATTTTTTAAAATTTCTTTTTCCATTAAAATTTCAGTGTATGCAGTATGCTAGCTGCACAAAATATAAAATTTAACACAATATTTACCATATGGTCTTTGTGAAACTGTTTTCTTCTAAGGCTTGGTGCAGTCTCAGCACACCTTTGTCAGTTATGTCATTTCCAGTTAGACTGAAAAAAAAGACAAAGTGTTAAGAGTTCAACAATCAGCAATAATGTGGTTTAAATAAAAACATTTCATTTGATTTCTTTCATTTTTGATCAGCCCATGAATACTCACTCTAAAATCATCATTTTGTGAAGGTGAGGGAGTAAAAGATCCAAGCACGCATCTGTGATCTGACAATAGCTGAGATTAAGATGTGTAAACTCCTCTTTGTAATCCAAGACCAACTGCAGAGACTCACATGTACAGTAGTCAAGAGGAGTGTCACTGAGGTCCAGCTCTTTTCCAAGAGCTTTGGAAAGTGTTGATGCCCATTGCAAAGACATAGCCATGGGTGCATTAAAAATCAAGGTTAAAACCTGACAAAGAAGGCTTTTGCCCAAGCTGTAAGACAGAAAATTTTGCAACTGAATCATTTAATTATCTGTAGAAATATAACAAAAATAAAAACAATTACCTTAATTTATGTAAAAGTATATGAGGACTCACTAAAGATGCACTTTGTGCAGTATAGGGAACAGAATCTCAAGTGCAGAATCATCTGCTTGGCAGTCGTATAAAATTAATTCTGTGTCACATGTTGATGTTTTAATGGCAGAAGAAATGGCTGTAAAATCCATACGACTCATAGTTAGAAGATCCCCATTCTCTTGACCAAAACGGCCACTGCCGAGGGAAGAATTACAGGAGAAGTCCAGTTTGTGGTTCAGTGCAGTCAAGAGGGAAGACACCGTATATCCTTGTTTTTCCAAGTCCTTAGAGGCATGAAGAAAGCTCAATAACAGCTTTCTATCAACTCTAGTCCAATAAAGTACAGCAATAGTGTTAGTAAAACAATAAGCACAGTGAGCAACGCAAAAAAAATTATGCAAAGATCTTTAAATGTAAGCTGAACAAAAATTGAGCACATTACCTCAGATCAGAAACTCTGTGCAGAAGTTTGACGATGCTGCCAGTCTCATTATTTGGAATGACAGCGTTCAATAGGTTGAGCTTAACACCATCACTATAGTGCAGGGCAAAACAGAGGGCTTTGCAGTCAGTTGAATCCAGCTCTCTCATGCAAAGGTTAATCAGGTTAGCTGAAGATTTGATTAATTTCACAATCAGATGACCTGCACGTTTTTGGTATATCTCTTTCAGTGCAGCCCTGACAAACCGTGGGCTTATCCTGCATTATAAGAAAGAATTATTACAACATCATAAAGTGTAGATATGATTAAATATATTTAACTGTACACCAATAAAAGTCTTGCCTTTTAAAGCAAACTGTGTCCAGTACAGCCAGAAGGCTCGGAACTTTCAGAACATTAAATCTACCCTCTGCAAGGTCTAGTGTCACTTGCTTTTTGGTGCCCTGAATTAGGTAAGATAAAACTTCCCAGGACAAATTACAAGGTGACAGATCACCATCAATTTTCTCCAGGAACAACTGGGTCAAATTTTCATCTTGAGCATCATACACAATTTCTGCCAGTCGTTGCAGAGTGCCTTCATGAAATCTGTTGTCATAGAATTATTATTAATATAATTTTTTTTTCAAATAAATAAACACTTCAAGGTTTCTGGGGAAAAAAAGGATATATACCACAGCGGAATCACACTTACTTAATGGACAAGGGACCCTGATGACACAGCAGACAAATGAGCCAGTGAGGCTCAATTTTAAATTCAGAAAGGTTCAAGTTGTGGACTGTCCAGACTCTAAGAAGAGAAGTTAGGTTACCTAATAGCTGGCAAAGTGCTCTCTCTGGTAGATGAGAGTTAGACAAAACCAAAGACAACTCTTCCACAGTTACAGCATTTATTTCTTTATCTGATATAACCAGTCTTGACAGCTTTGCCGTTGCCATTTCATTTATTCTGAAAAAAAAGTAAAATAAATTAAATTATAAAAAAAAGTAAGCAAACGTACTTGGTTAGAACACTGAAATTTGTTCAATGAATTTACGTCATAAAAATTATTACCTCAAGGTTTGAAGCTTTTTCACATTTGAAAAGAGGTAGGCACAACCTTGACAAGAGATCTTTTGAGGAAGAAGACTGAGGGAGATGTCCTCCTCATTGTCCAGCAGTTCAAAAACATTGGCAACAGCATTGCAGAGGCGACTTGATAGCATGTCTATCAAAGAAAAGCTAAAACCAATGGATCTTAGAAGCTCAGCAATCTGCTTTGGATTCCATTCTCTGTCTGCTGAAAGGACTTCACACACAGACTGGAAAAACTGCTCATCGCAGCTATAGAGAAATTGTAAGTTGCATGTAAAGTTACTACACAAATCAGACAAGAAAATGAAAGGAAGCACACTAAAATATGACAACTTAAAGAGATCGTCCAGCCAAAAAATGCTGTCATCTTTCACTCACCATCATGTTGTTTCAAACATGTATGACTTTCTTTCTTCAAAAGAAAATAGTTTTTATAAACGTCTGTGTTTTGTCCATAAAATTTAAATCAAATATAACCAAAATGGTTTGGTTATCAACATTCTTCAAATATCTTTATTTTAAATATCTTTACTAAAGAAATAAAGTCATACAGATGAATAAATTATGACAGAATTTTCATTTTTGGATGAACTATCCCTTTTACACTGCCAAATGAAACATCATGCATTTTAATTTTGTCTCAGCAAATCAACTCACCAAAGGTGTGAAATATAGGGTAAACAATTTAGGAAACTCCTAAGTTTTTCTCTTTCACATGACCAGCTTGTGAGCTCCACAGTTTTTGTGACAGCCTGAAGCTTCAGTAATTCAGTAAGAGCAGGAGTCTTCTCTAGTTTTTGTAAATCCAATGTCCATACAGCAGGGGCAACCTGAAGAATGGGCTTCAATGCTTGTAGTGCTGTCTTTGATGAACTGTCCTTCAGCTGGCTGAAGAGATCCAAAAGGAAAAAGCTCTGTATGTCTTTGCTGTCTTCAGCAAACGGAAATGTGGAGTAACTGCATGCTGTAGAAAGGCTTTTTAGTTTTTCCTCTCCACTTTCCGATGCAAGAATGAAAAGATCAACAACAATCTTCACAATTTTGTGGATGTCTTTGGGCTGTCTGAGAGCAACACTGAACCTGCAATATTTTGAATAAAAAAAATGTAAAAAATTATTTTATACCTAAAAACTATTCCCAGTTGTTTTAAATCAACACTATTAAAAAAAACTCACCTAATTTGTGTAATGTAAGGCATACATTGAAGAATTCTTTTAAGTTCACTCAGCTCATATGTGACATGATCTAGTTCAGCGGGCTTCTTTAAATTTAGAACATCCATGGTTTGGAGGAGTAGTGACATTGATGGGTTTGAAGGCTGTGCAACCCATGTAGGTGGCAATGCATGGAAAACAGGTTGCAAAACTGGAAGAACATCCATGTTCTTGGCATGTTCATGCAGTTTCAGCAAGAATTTATACTGCTCATCAAGGTTTTCGCTTTGATTATTGCTGAAAACAGACAGCAGATTCCTTACACATCGTTGACCTGTCTTCATCTCATAAATAGCTCCTTGAAGATAGAGCTCTGTTTCTATAGCTACTTTAAATTGATGGGGGGAAATCCTACAAACAAACGAGAACAAAATACAGAATATATGTGAATTAAGTCAAAAAAATAAAAAAGTGAGAAATAAAATAAGCGCAACTGGTTGTACCTAATGGTTGCAATATTGGGTAAACTCTCAAAAATTGCCTTCTGCAAAGATCTGGTTATGACTTCTTCATTTACATGCAGAAAAAGATGAACAGTCTTATTTTTAAGGACTTCTCCTATCCTTTGAAACACTTTCTGGTCTAGTGTTTCAAGTGCAGAGAGATGCATTTCAAAGCTGAATAAGCTGAGCAAGCTATCAAAATCTGAAAACTGCCCTGCTTCAAGAGCCACTCTCCACATTTGAGATTTCAGCACGCTTGTTGACCTAGAAATAAAAAATGTGAAGAATAAAAATTGTATACATCATATAATTTTTGTAATTGCTAGACACTGATGAAAGAGAGAGGCTGTTCTAAACTTCTTGTACCTGAGAAATTTCAGATTTTTCAATGAACTTAGAAGTAGTTCCAAGCCAGGGTTAGTAATGCTACAATCTGTGAGATCCAGTTCAATATTCCGATGCACAGCTTGATTGACCACATAGGAGATTACACAGCACTGGTAAGGATCAAGTGTTTGGTCCTCTAAATCAAGCTCGTACTGAACCTTTTCCAGGAAGATTCGGCATGCATCAGCAGACTGATACTCATAAAGGCATCGACACACAAATAGGATGTTGTCAGCTTCCACAAACTGCTCACAATCGCCTTCTTGATTCTGTTCTTTGGTGTAAAGGAAAGTATCTATAATCTGTTGAAAGTACTTAACGCGTGTGGCTTCTATCTGTTCTACTGGCACCAAACACTTTATGAGCTCAAATAGATTATCCGCGAGAAGTCCAGACAAAAATGGCACGATATATTTAAGGTATTTTCCATCTTCATCGCTTTGGCATTGATCCAGTACACTGGTGATCTTGTCAGGATTTAAAATTATATAGAGAGCTGCCCAAAACTCTTGCATTGTATTATGCAGGAATGCATACACTTTGCAAGAAGTTGTGGATGGGTTCCAGAATTGCTTTGTTAAGAAAGCATTTTGCACAGACTTATCTTCATGATCCAAGTCTGTCAGGTTCACTGTCTTTGCTAGCATTGCTTGATAGGAGGCTAGAGCTAAGTTTACGACGTCCCTCTTGTTGTCTTTAATGTACTTATCTAAGTGCTCCACATCTTGATGTCCGTGTTGTTCCATGCAAAAGCGAAAAATTCGGACATACATCTCCGTAACCGTAAATGGCTTACTCCTGGCTTCAGTAGGACTTACTGAAATGCAGGCAGCTACTATGAAGGCATACAGGGGTACAGAGCATAAACTAAACAACTCTGGGTTTTCCAAAGCACCAATGTCATCTGTTGTTCCCAACATCCACTTAAAGTATTCATAGATGGACTTATGATTAAAGCCCTGAACTTCCACTCGATAAGACCGCCAGTCTGACAGGTAACCTGTATCCTCAGCTTCTGGTCTGCAAGTGGTCAAGACCTTTGCATCCTTTAGAAGTTCATTCTCCATAAGCTGTTTAATCACAGAGTTTCCAATCACATCCATGACACCATCAAAAATCAAAACAACATTTTCTGAATTGCTCTCAATATTTTCCAGGACTTGATCGGATGCTTCATCTGGGGATATGTACTTTTGAAAAAGAAGATCCTTCAAGGTTTGAGGATATGGAGACTGAGAGAAGACTCTCATCAGTGGCTCATCAAAATAAAACATATAACTCACTGGAATGCTTTTCTCTTCTGTCCAGAGTCTAAGTATCTCCAGTGCAACTGTTGTCTTGCCCACTCCAGGTTTTCCCACAAGCAGGATGCTTTTCTCATCATTCATTAGTAAGTCTTTGGGAGACAGCATTTTTTTGTCTGTTGGAATGTAGGTCTTCAGTTTCTTTGAACGAGATTTCTTGCATCCCTTGTTCTTCTTAAGCTTTGCAACTGTACTACACTCTGTGTCCATAACAAGGGGTATGTACATGAAGGGTTTCCTTTTTTGCTCATTTTTAAAAAAATTCATGCTTAGTTTCCATTTATCATCCAGTATTTGTCTTGCTTTCCATCTCAAAAGGCCCTGGTATGTGGTACAAGGGTCTGAATCTGGAAAATATATTTCAAAATTAATTTCTTTAGAGATCTACAAAAGTACAGTGAAAACTAGTGCACAGTTCTCTAATGAAATGTGAATAGTATTCAAATGTATGCTACAGACTTAAAAAGTTCCATCAAAATAGACTCCATTTTCTTGACACAAAATGACAATTAGACAAAAAAATATGTTTGTTTAGCATTGCCTGTTTCCAAATTCTTTCAATTTTGAGACATCATTGATCGAGAAAGGTCAATGAAATTCAATAAACCAAGGCAGGTTGCCTCATCCTGAACCCCATCATGCTACCACTTTGCCTTCCCACACTTTCACTATATGCCTCTGATTAAATAAAGATATTAATAAAACTAAAGGCAGGAATAAAAATACACTTATCTAAACCACTTGACACAATAATAATAATAAATAACAGGAATATAAAACAAGAATACAGCATACCTGTGCTTGTTACCAACCTGCTTTGTTTGCTGTCTGAGATTGTGGTTCATCCTGGAAGGAGAAGCAACTAATCCAGTGATGTAAATCTGGACACCCCAAACCAGGTCTTGGAATTACTTGAAATCTTTTTTTGTCAAGAATTTTTAAAAACTTATAGCATGCATCTTCTCCTTTAAAAATAACTATGTCAAGTATAATCTTTATCTTATCCTGACTATTTTCTGCAGATTCAATTGAATTAAGCTCATGAGTTTTGAAGAATTTGCACTGGTTTAAGGCCTCAATTACAGGATCACAGTTTAAATGAGATCCAGTTAGCAGATTTCGTCCATTTCCTAGGAATTCCTGTGCAGATTGCTGGGTGCTCGCCATCCTGAAGATTCTGTACTGCTCCTGCCATAATCAAATTCTGAGAGATTAGTTGCGAGGAAGGTGGTAAAAAAAGACAGTGTTTTGAATCATTAGTCAAAGTTTTAGCTTAAAAATTATTCAAAAAGAATTCAAACCGATGTATCTTTAGTTTAAAATGTAAATTCACTCTCTGACAGTAGGTGGCACTTATGGAACAGCTAATGCATCGGTTTCCAGGGTTACCCCACTGATCTATAATTTAAATTTTTTTTAAATGTAATTTAAAATTAAAAAAAAATGTAAAATAAAATAAAAAATATATACGGGCTGCTAGACAAAACGAAAGCATAAGCACCCTCAGTTGTGGCTATAATAATAAGACACTGGGCGAAACAGATCTGGCAAATGCTCCAGTACTTATGTGTTAAAAGGTTTCTATTTACAGCGTGTTTTGCAGCGTTGAGCAATGTAGCCAATCACAGACATATCTGTTGGCTTACTGAACGCAATGGCCAATCAGAGGTGTTTAAGTTAGTATCCACTCACTGCTCAAAATGCCAAGTTTTGTTCTGCACGTTCGCGAATCCTCTCATTAGAACAGGGGTTACCAAACTCGGTCCTGGAGGGCCAGTATCCTGCAGAGTTTTGCTCCAACCCTAATCAAACACACCCGAACCAGCTGAGTTTGGTGACCCCTGCATTAGAACAAACAAAGTGTAGACGCGATGTAAATAAGAGATTCACTGTGAGGTGTAGAAAGCTTCTTTGATTAAAAAGGAATTTTATGAGATCACGATGAATGACAGATTTTTAATAATTATAATGGAAGTGCACTTTCTATGCTATATATCATCCATTTTGTTTTTTCACAATGCAAAAAGAACCAAATTAGACTTTCACATAAAAATTAGTCAATTAAAAATTAGTCTACAGGCTCTCATTTTTAAAATTTCGTTAAATGTTGTTCACACATTGGCAATAAAAAGCGATTAATACTTGAAAATTCTTTCATAAAACCCCTTTAAAATTTTCATTTTGTCCATAGAAACAACTAGCTAACTTCAGCTAGCAAGCTAACGTCACTTGTCAGCTAGCAAGCAAAGTTGTAGAGCAGCACAGCTTTTCCTTCTGTCCTGTAATAACATTCAGTGAGCAATATCTGATAGTATATATTTTAGTACACACTTAGACAGTTTGCATTGAGCACCAAAACAGTTTCTTTGCTTCATTTCAGCTTTCATTGTTTTGTTTTTTTTCTTCTTCTCCGGTTGGAAGGTACCATGGATGAATTAAAGGGATAGTTCACCCAACAATCGCAAAAATTCACCCAAGAATTCACCCTCATGTTGTTTCACACACGTAAAACCTTTGTTCCTCTTCCGAACACAGATGAAGATATTTTTTGATGAAATCCGAGAGCTTTCTGACCCTCCGTAGGCAGCAACACAACTTACACATTCAAAGCCCAGAATGGTAGGAAAGACATCTGTAAAGTTCTCCATGTGACTCCAGTGGTTTAACCTCAATTTTATTAAGCAACATGAGTGCTTTGATTGCACAAAAAACATATTTACAAATTTATTTATGAAAATATTGATCTGCATTGTGCATTCATAAGAGCATCCCAATGCATGTGTTCTGTTCACACAATAGAAGACTTGCGCGTCAACACAGACGCACATGAGTGAGTGTTCACTAGAGTACCACAGCGCATGTGTTTGGATAATATTTTCGTAGATAAAGTGGTAAATTATTAATTTGTATTAATATTTTTTTTTTTTTTTCCAAAACAAAGCACTCACGTCACTTCATAAAATTGGATTACTTGATGTACTTAATGACATGGATTACTTAATGATGTCTTTCCTACCGTTCTGGGCCCCCTCTCCCTCGTCGGGTCCCTTGGAATCGTCCTAACCTTCCCCCCGTTACGATGCCTCTGTGCATGGCTGACTTTAAAGGAACAGAAAGCTCTCGGATTTCATCAAAAATATCTTTATTCATGTTCAGAAGATGAATGAAGGTCTTACAGGAGTGGAATGACAGGAGGGTGAGTAATTAACAGCAGTATTTTAATTTTTGGGTGAATTATCCCTTTAAGACTCTGCCTATGGATCCAACAGGATGTCATATGATTCACTTGCATCTAGCCAAAAACTGTGATAGGCTATAGTTGGCAGTACTATTAACACAGGTGAAGAAAGATATTGTATTATCCGAGAATAAAATGACCTACTTGATTAAATATTTCAAATACAAAATACTGTCTCTGAAAGCATTTAATTACAAATTACATTTGATTTTTTTGTCCAGCAAAATACAAATGACAAAATACTTAAAAGTAATTAAATACATATGTTAAATACATTTAATTAAAATACTGCCCGTCTCATTGCATGCTG